GAGTAATGATCTCAGATGCTAGGTAAAAATACCATTGTTTGGTCAAGGCTCAGAGTAATATTGAAAACATGAGGCATTACGACCCAAATAAGGATCTCGTTTCAGCCATAGACTTGTGGTAGCTTTTCTCAGAATGTTCCCTTTTGAAAGTGTAAATCTAGACTATGTGATCTCTCTCAGATGATGCAGTCTGTCTGTGCGTGTGTTATTTTCTGCTATTTAAGTTATGCACAGTGATTTCCATTGCATTTTTGAACTGATGTGCCAGGTGCTTTGAAAGAGATGTCATGCTTGTACTGTCAAAACATCTCCATACTGGTGTGCTGTATGATCTCATTTTATGGTGCTTTCAGTATACTTTACATGCTGTATATCTTGCTGTCAGTCATGCAAATAAGAAGATGTGCTTTTCATCGCCTTTTTCATTTTACACAACAGTTCAAATGATCTACAAAGATGAATTTTATAGAAGAGCAAGTGTAGCTGCAGATTACACAACAAGCTGTTTTAACTCCCTTAAGCTACTGAATTAGTCACTGTGGAATGGGTTTTAAATATGGGTCATCAATGTCCCTCAGTATGGGCTCAACCAAACACTGCTGCTTTAAGCCATGAAGGAGTCTATTGAGTGTATGAGCTACTTTTGCAAATTGTAAAAAGAAATTCTGCTGTTGCCTTTTGAATTGGTTGTAATTCATGAATTCTGTCAAATGGTACAATTATTTGAACATTCAGGTATTGTTTACATGTGTGCAGCTAAAGCTGATAAATCCTCCTGTCAACATACGTCCGATGGAGACCATGGCCTTTATCCTGTTTTTACATTTGCTTCACTTGTCAGGAGGTAAACATGCACCCGATAAACAGTGTGTCACAGCAGAGCTCACTGGGGCTTTCTAGGATCCAAGCCATATGTAAGCTTAATTTAATGCAGCTTGAAAAAAAAAAAAAAGGCTGATCGTGGATAAAGGCCAGAGCCACCGAATTCACCCAATCATTTCCATTTTTTATGTTTACATGTTTATTAATTAAAGTGAACGCAGGGTGGTTTTGGCAAATATTTGATGTACTGTATAATACTGTCATTGTTTCTGTTGGGGCTTTCTTTCTCTTTATTGAACACAGAACCACATCATCCTTATACGAGACACATAGTGAATACAAGTGAACATACTGTAGCGGTGAGAGATACTGATGATTTGAAGTGGACTACGACCTTATATATTTACAACACAACTTAAAAGTTGTGATCGCTTTCCCAATATGCACATGAGAAATGTAAATTTAAATAGCATCAATGTTGGCTACACATTTTTATAACTTAAAAAGCAGGTAATCATGGTTTGATATTGGAACATATCAATCTTTGTGGGTAATACATTCCTTGCTGGGTAGATTCCTAAAAAATAAAGAACAAAGAAACATCAAATTGGAGATGAATATTTGACATGGAAGGGAGAAGGTTTCAATAAGTAACATTCCCCCCCACAGCAGAGTGTAAAATAAATAAATAGTATCAGCAAGGTTTTTGTTTTTCAGACTTGTGTTTAGCAGTGGTGGAGTACTCTACTGTAAGGTACTTGTACTTGGGTAATTCCATTTCAATCTACTTTATACTACTACTTCACTGTATTTTAGAAACAATATTGTACTTTTTACTTCACTTCATTTATTTGATATCTAGTTACTTTGCAGATTCAGATTATTAATACAATACCAACATCTACTAATAAATCACGATGTATTATTGTGGATAAAGCGGACAAAGAAAGTAGTTTGAATTAGCCCCCCCTTTACTTTACATTAGTGATGCTTACACGTTAACGCATCACTAATTGTAATCCAGTGATATGAAATGCATTATTCTGAAAAGGGCCATTCTGCATAATGAGTAATTTTACTTTTGTTAGTACTTGTCCGTATGTAAGATTTTAAACAATGCAGTGTTACTTTCAGCAATAGCTCCTACATGTAGCTAGTGTTGTCTGTGCCGGGGGCGCCCCCTGTGGCCGGCAGCGGTACTGAACATCCAGCAGGACTCTCGCTGCGTTGAGTCAGTAGTTCTCCGAAGCTTCTGCCGACTGGAGGGATGTGACCCCGGAACAGGACGCCCTCCTACAACAACACACCATTCAAACAGAGCATAGAAGAAAGAAAAGCTGGACCAGGAGGGGTAAGCTCATATGTGCCGTTGTCTTGACGAGGCGTACATTGGCAGGGTTTTTTGAATCGATACGTGCGTTTGATTCCCGGCGTCTACACTTCTGGCAGAGAGCAGCGGTACCTGGATGGTGTTTGCACCCATAGGAACTTCATTCAGGCTTTTGTCTCGGGCATGCTAGCGAGCTAGCTCGGCTGGTTAGCATCGGCTGCTTTTGGCAAATGTATCCCGGGGTTTTAGCGGAGACTAAATTAAATCATCGACAGGGCAAAATGAACGTGACTTTTAAAGCCATTGAGTGTACCGTCCATATATTTTTTACCATGACGGATATTGATGAAGATTCATGTCGAAAATGCGCTGAAGGCTCGCTGCTTGCTAGCAAGAGCGCTGCTACAGTTTGAACAGTGTGCGTCCCGCAACATGATAACAAGATCCTTCACGATGTGTGTCCATCTCTGAGAAAACCAACCGGTTCTTCTTTCAATGTCGGCCGTCCACACGTTTGTTTGTGGTTATATTTTAGCCAGAGGTTAAAGAAGAAGACTTTGAAGAAAACTAACGTGATCAAAAACTCGATAAATCTCAGCTAACGTGTGTGCAATGTTTTGCAGACAAACGTTGCCGTTAGGTTGTATCAGTTTGGTCCACTTGCAACGTCATGATGTTAACGCATCTTAAAGGAGGACATCACGACAGTAATTCAGCAGACTTTGTGTACATGATGCACGCCTATTTGAAGTGTTAAAGACACATTGCAGACCCATTTGTCCCACTCACCAAACACCTACCAGTCAGCCATGATAGAGAACCTCAAATGCTGCAGACACAGAAGCTACTTTCTTTAAATTTTGTTTTTTCATGTTCAAGTGTTCTTTTCACACAACTCCTACATTGGGTTTTCTATTTTTGGATCACCCATGGATGCATTGTGCCATGCTGCCTTTTACAGTGGCTGCTTCCCCCACCCACATGTCAGAGAGCTGACAACCCTTTGAGTGGTGAAGCTGGCGCCCTGCCGGCAGCGGGGGCATTGATGAGTGCTGCAGTCAGTGGGTTTTAGGGTTTGGCCACGGGCGAGAGTTCTGAATCCTCCTGGCAACTAGCAGAGTTGGTCACGGACCACAGTATGACATGCCCGCCTTAGTTTGGGCATTCCCCTCACTGGATGGATATTTGGAGCGAGATGAGGACCCCTTGGCCTTGCGTCCCTCGCCTCCTCATGGTCGGAGCAGGTGCTCTTCAGCGGCTGCTTGAGTCCCGAGAGGGACCTCATCAGCTGCCCGTGAGCGGAGTTTGGGAGGGAGGGCTGGTTCATCTCACAACCTCTTGCTCTGTGCTTGGCACACGCACTTGTCAGGCTGTCAGCATTTACTCTGCCCCCAAAGTGGCCTGTTGTGGGCTGACACGGCGATACCGGAGCCGCTTGGATCCATTCGGGGCTTACGCACCCAGTCCAGATGACAGAGGCCTCCGGATGACCACCAAACGGGTTTGAAAGAAACAAACTAGAGTGCATAGCCATCATTTCTGCTCACATTTCTTTGTCTTTTGTGCATCTTGCACATTTGCAAGGAATTGTATTGTTCCATCACATACATCCTATAACTTTTAAGAATTTCATTCCCTGCCTTGGCGTTGGCGCTTTTGAAATCTTGCAGCCGCACCCTCGAGGGACCAGCTTAAGGCAGCAGCAGCTTCTGTTTCAATTCCTTTGAGGGACCCTGAGGAGTGAGCTAAGATGTTCTGAGATCATAGACCAGATTTAATTATGGTATATATCGCATCCACGGGCGGTGAAAAATTCAGTTGTATCAAAATTGGTATTGTGGAAACATTTGCAAGATCAGGTTGCCAGGTCATACATGTTCTTAATTTAACTTTAGCATTACAAATATACAAATTATTATTTGTAGCCTAGTCAAAGCTAAATAATGGGGACAATATTTATTTTTACTGTGTAGGAAAAGTTTCCTAGTGGCTTAAGGTATAAATATGTCATGTCGTGCTGTAAAAGGGCCTAGTATCTACATAATGTGGCACAGAAATAGTCAACGGACAGTTAAGCACACCCAGAAACCCAGCTATGAACTAAGCCTGTACAGTTTGAGTTCATGCCTCACGTGGTGACAACAAGACATGACCTACTTATCAATCATGTTTTCACAATCCAGTTCATCACCATTGTCCCCAAATACTGTAGCCATTGTTGTGGGCATTGTACACGTGAGGAGATGGCTTCACACAAAAGACGGCATGCAGATATCCAGCAAGTCCAAGCCAGAGCTTTTCTGGTCTGCAATGTCCACCCGTCTGGCTCCTGCTGTTTCCAGACCCGACCCGGAGGGAGACACTCTGCTGGGTGCCGTTGTGTCTCCTGCAGGTTTGGATGGGTAGAGACTGGGTGATGGGACTTACAGCACTTTCAAAATTGTCGTAGGATTTATTGTGTTGTGCTGAAACATTTAGTCGATTGACAGAAATAAATTGTCAACACTTTTGATAGTCTATCAATCTTCAGATATCATTCATTTATTAATTAATCAAGAAAAATAGCCATTTAAATTGTGACATCTAAATTGTGAGTATTTTCTGCCATTTCCTGTTTTACATAATTGTAAATTCCCAATTTTTTCTCTACTGTCTTATGGCATCGTGACACGATAAACAAGCTAATTGTTTTATTTTGCTGAATTACGGAGTTGAATAAGAATATTGTTCTGTCCTAATTTCAGTAGGCCACTAGTTTTAATCGGTTTCGTGACATGGTAAGTCAGCATTAGAAGGGTGTGTGTGTGTGTGTGTGTGTGTGTGTGTGTGTGTGTGTGCGTGTGCCTGTGTGCCTGTGCCTGTGCCTGCAGGGACACAGCTGCTCTGCAGAACCAGGCCAGGTTGTTGGCAGCTCAGCTGGCAGCCACACCAGACTTCTAGCTTACTGAAGTTTCTCACACGTTTGTTTGGGATGTTGGCGCAGCTCATGATTGAATTCTTGGTTATTTTTCGGTTTTGGCTGGAGGCTGTTGACCTCTCGGGGTCTTGCAGAGTTCAGGTTTTTAGTGGCATTTGTGTAAAGCTAAACTTAGTTTTGCCAGTCAACTTAGAAGTTTGTTTCTTATTTTTTTGTTCGCTGGGGGGGGATTTGATTTCTTAAGCAATCAGACGTTGTGCGTTATGTGCACAGCTGATTCTAGAGCCAACAACAAACCTTGCAAGTGGACCGGGCCATGTGTGACTGGGCCGGTGCACTTTGGCAGCCTCTGCCCTTCACGACCCTCAGTAAATCTGAAGGCCTATCACATTGCACACTGTAATCTCCGGCAGCAGATGCCCACTCCACTGTGTTGAAGCGGCCCTCTCCGTCTTTTTGTTTCTCAGAGACACTAATGGACACTGATACTACACAAGTGTACATAAGAAATCTGGAATGCAGAGGCCATGCAGTGGAAAGGCTTCGCTCTATTTTTTTTAAGCGGCATTACTAAGTGTGTAATTCTCAGTCATGTGCAGCAGCTGTATGAAATGTTGACGTACTTGTAGTAAACGCTGATGTTAACAGTGATTTCTAAATCACAATCAGATCTTAACCGTGGCTCTTTTTAAACAGGGCATATCCTGATGGTTATATTTTCTATATTTTTTTTCAAGACCTAAATATACTGATACTGTTTTTATGGACAACTGTATATTTAACAAAGTACACATTTAAAAGTTTTTTAAAACACTACAATGCAATTTCTATACTTGGATGCCATCATTTAAATGTTAAAACTCCATACACTGACACAAGGATGACCTGCTAGAAAGAATGAACTGTTAACATGGGTACAAAGATTAAGCTGTGCCTCAGCATCACACAACAATATATTGATTTCCATATTTATATAACTAACTACCACGTGTTCAGATTTGATGGCTCTCGTGTTGCTTTTTTCTTTGAGATTTCCCGGTTCAGTATCAGCGATGCTTTGGTAGCTGGGCTGCCTAGAGGGGCTCGATGTCTCCACCCAACATGACAACACTGACAAGAGCCCAACACGGGCAGAGGGGGGGGTTAGGCCTAGATCAGCATTAAAGAAAGCCTTTGATTACGTCTGGAATATTAGCCGCATACGTCTGATGCTGGCTGAGCAATCCCTCGAGGGATTAGTGTTGAGCCAGCCCACCTCGAGAACCGAACATCGGGCGCACACAAAGGACTCTGACAGGATCCCTGTTGTGGTCCTTGAAATGATTTCAGTCTTGTCACACAGCAGAGCAGGTACATCAGAATGACCCAAGTAGGCTAAACATGGGAAGGTTTCTTTTCAGAACACTATTTATAGGTTTTTAGTAGAGTTGTGTCACTTGTCATTTCCCTCTTTGTCATGGCATCCTAATCAACTCTATTTGTATGATTTTCTTTTTCTTTTTTTTTTCTCCCATAATTCAAAGCAGCCTTGTTAGAAATAATTCAGTGGATGTGTCGGATCAAACCGTGTTCATACAAAAAGCAGCTGAGGTCTAGCCGTCTGTCAAGGAGAGGTCTAGATGTACCCGTTGTTTGACTACTTCAGACATTGTCCTCTGTAAGAGTTTGTCTTCCTGGGAGAGTTCAGAACACAGCTGGAAAAGACATTACAGAAAAATCATGCCAGTCTCTTACAATCTCATTGGTCAGTCTGGATTTTGTGTAGTAAGAAGTTGTATGTTTGGAGAGTTGGTTCTACAAAAACAAAGCAAGCAATTTGAACCTCGCCTTTAGGCTCTAGTCATTCTTCCCTATTGTTTACTTATAGAACAATGAAGCGAATAATAATAATAATGATAACACAAATAGTTGCAAAATGATCATTGTCAAATAGCCTATTTCAAGATACAGGCCACTCATAATACACTTGCCAACAATGACAACACCCAGTATGTGATTTCTGGCTTTAAAATGATGTTGAGCTGGACTTTATCTTGACCCGGTGTGTTTTTAACATGCTGTAATCCAGCAGTGATACCCAGGAAGCCATTATGTCGAGGTTAAGTCTGCGGCAATGAGGCATTGTATGCCAGGCAGCCGAGTACCATCTGGCGCATTGTTGGAATTATAAACATGGTTGGAAAGCTAGTTTGCTCAGCAGGATCGCACGGATGAAACTACCCATTACGTAATTATGCACAATGTTAATCACTGTTGCATGCATGTTGTCGTCCAGTTCACTGAGGACCAGAACTGTCATGATTCACAGTTCTGTAGCTACTCTGCTGCCCAAAATAGTCCTCTACAAATGAGTGTTTCTGCCCCTTCCAGCCTGAGGAAGAACTGGTGAAATCCAAAAAAAGAATGACTCCTTTCCCTTTCCTCTTTTTTTAAAGTGACAATGGAAGATCACTGATCAACCTCATTTACATTTCCATGATTTTTCTACCTGGGATGGGATTTTGCACACTACTTTTGTTCTTCTCATAGCAGATATATTGCTGTGGAAGTGGGATAAGACACATTGTGTTTTTGCGGCTGGTGAAAATACAAATTGCAACCCTCAAAACAGCAGCCTGGGCAGAGATGGTACTAAATATGGCCAGTTTTTTATACTTCAAACGCAAACATCAGAGGATCAGAAATGCCTCAGTCATCAAAGTGGGCCTATTTACAGATGATGAATGTGGAATATATATCCGCCTTTTGTGCTGCAGCGGACGTGAAAATGGTTTAATTGTCAAGTCTCAAACTATGCCTGAATATCAATGGATGTTTGGTACTTTTAAAAAAAATCTCAAGACAAGATGGCACCCGTTGACAGTTGGAGTAGTACTGTTCTCTTCAGTCACTCTCTGCTCTCTATCCAGTCTCACACAGTGACCGTTTTATTCCCAGTGAGCTTCTGATGCACGCCGACTGGCGCTCCTGAGTTTATATCAAGCTTCATTCCGTGTGTCGTCTCACTGCTGGGTCTCTCTGCCTCCAGTCTTAGCTCTTCCATTTGTCTGGCGAAAGGAGCTTTGAAACTTGATCAAACGTGTCACTGCTACTGATATGAAAACACTGCCACCCCCTTTCACCCTCGCCGCCAATGTCCTCCCTAAAGGTGTATGGAGCAACTGACACCAGCGAGATCTTTTCATGTTGCTTCGAGACTTCAGCGGCTCTCCGATTTTAAACGATGCCTGGCGCTCAGGTGGAAGTGAACGCCTGATGTACTCATCTTCCCCCTCATTCAGTGTCGTGTGGCTGGAAACAGACATGAAGACAAAGTCAAGTGTTATTTGCTTGCTGTAAACAGCCACCAAAGATTGCTATAATTCTAAGGACTGTAGCCAGAAGCTTGGGCTCCAGCTGCTCTGATCTGGATGAATCCACACGCTCACAGTGGCACCCAAACGCCAGCCAATGGCCAACGATGCCCCGTTCATCCTTCTCCCCCCTCCGGGCTCTGGGAAGTGGGGACGACGAGCCAGCTCCTCAATTAAATATAACCCCACATCAAACGGCCTGTCAACATGCATTAGTGGTCCTTTGTATAGATAAGAGGCCAAAATAAATAGCCAGAACTATCATAGTCAGTGTGGCTCCCTCTGGCTTTTTATGAAAGATTTTTAGGGGAGAACGAATCCTGACTTGCATACTGATATTCTCTCCATGAAATCCTGTTTTGTTTTTTCCATCCTTTTCAATGTATTTTTCTTCTCTGTGAGTAATTTCTTCTTTTAGCTATTTCAATTAGTACATTCAGGCTGCACGTCAAGCCGCGCTGCATGCCTCGTCTTGTCAGTGTGTCGTAACGGAGATCTAATGCGACAACAGCTGACCTTGATGTGTGTGTGTGCTATCACAGCGGAACCTATCCCTTTTCTGTCATCCGCATTAGTTTTGGCAGATCCTTTTATCGCCTTCCCCCCCCCCCCCCCCCCCCCCCTCTTTTTTCCTTCCCCCTTGCCTATATTTTGCATCTCTGCAGACTGACAGAGAAAATAGGTCATTAGTTAGACGGAGAATATGAGATGGAAGGAGCAGGCAGGGGCGAGATCTGTGTGAAAACTGCCATGCAATATTAATGACAGCCATTTACGCTGTGAAGTGCCGAGCCTGCACTGTGACGAGACCTCTGACTTATATCACCAGTGTTGTTAGACTGTGTGATAAGCACTTCATTTATATAACACAACAACAGTCTGGATCATTTACCCTAAAAGTGAGACCTCTAGTTCCGGCCTAGTGCGGTACATCCGAAAATTCAGGTCAGAAAAACATCCGATGATTGAAATGCAGTCAGAATCATAGACCGTATAAGAAGTGGACGTGATCACGGTGACATCACCCATTGGTTTGTGTGCGGCCGTTATGAAGCCTCAAGCTCTGCATTTTGGCCGTCGCCATCTTGGCTTTTTGCAACCACAAGACACAGAAGAGGGTGGAGCTAAGTACAGCTGAACGAGGCGTTTTTAGGCCACTAACGTCTGTCGGTTTATGGCCTGACAGATAGTGCGGCCGAAACAACCTCAGTCTTTAAGTATTTTTAACTTCTAATAACACTGTGACTGTTTGTGTTGCTTCGATTTTTTTATTTTATTTTTTTTGCAGTTCTTGTGTAACGTGGATTTGTTTGTGTGTCCAGAGCCACAGGAGCAGGGGGGATGAACCGCGAGGAGGCCCCGGGGAAGTCTCCTGAAGACATGTACGTCCAACAGAAAGTGCGGGTCCTGCTCATGCTAAAGAAGATGGGATCAAATGTGAGTGCAGTCTCTCGACCAACACAAACTATGGCCATGTGACATTTAATATTTCAGTATTCACATTTTACAGATTTAAATAGCAGCAAAAAATTAATTCTAGCGCTGCTTTTTGTCCAGCACACCCCAAAGACCAAAAAACATCATTACCGTCATATCATTATGTTTCTTTCATTGGTCAGATGAAAGTAGAAGACCCTTTTAGACTTGCTTTGAAAAGAAGCACACAAAGATTGGCTCTTAGAGCAAACAAAGTCAGACCTCAAAACAGATTCACAATATATAAAGACCTCCATTCGAGTTGTCTATGCTTTAATTTTTTACGAGTAGTGTGGCGCAGAGGTGAGTACAGTGGGCAGACTGAGGCCGATGCTAAAAGTGAAATAGAAATCGACTGTATTCCTAATTTTATCGGTGACCGTCTCAATCAACCCTGTTGGTCCAGATATGTGTTGTATGTTCAGCTCAGGTGGTGACAATGATTCAGGTGTTGAATGACATTGTGGAGGAATTGAGCAGCGATGAACTAATTTAGAACCTCTGAAGATCAAAGAAGCAGAGAAAATCTAAAGCTTACAGAAGCAAGTATGTTATGTAAACCTGTCATCCTTTAAACCTTTCTTTTTAAAAGATGAGATTTAAAAATGAAAAATATGAATCTTTTAAACCTGTGTGGAAAAGAAACTAAAAAGTCAGAGACGACTCCCCTCTCGTCCTCTCACATCACTCTGTTGGTCTTTTTGAACGGCGGAAAGACTCGTCAAATATGAATCCATCTCTTACAGGAGTGTTTTCGTAGGTTTGTTGCGATAAGGACATTTTATACAAGTAGGTGTTAGTTTCCAGGCAACAAACAAGTGTTTCGCAAAGCTAAAACCACAGAGTTGACACACTTGTTACCAGGAGACGACATAATAAGATGCTCTACTTTCGGTGACTGAAAGCAGCAAAACAAAATTTTCTCCGATCAATCTTAAAAATATCTCTTTCACTTTCTAAATGAGCAGAACGGTCAAATGTCCCTACGACCCGAGACGGAGATGTCTACCAAAGCACTAATGAATTAATTCTAACTCAAAATATGATGGATCCAGAAATAACACGTGCCTATGGGAGAATGATTTTAATCAATATTATTATGAGAAGAGCATTTGATAAGTATTCAGTTTGTTCTTGTTTGAAAACTTGATTTGTCACTTTGTTCACTCCTCTTCAGCTTACGCCCAGCGAAGAGGCTTTTCTCCGGAATTACGCAGGTGTGGTCCACAGTCAGATGAGCCAGCTACCACAGCACAACATAGACCAGGGTAAGGCTGTGACACACACACACACACACACACACACACTTACAGTGCTGTTGAAGGTATACGGGTAGAATGCGTTTTGCACCGGCTCACAAACGCCACTTTGACATGTCACAGAAGTGCTACTTTGCCCAGACCGCAAAACCGCATCGCTCCTCTTGAGTCCTTTAACCCCAGCAGGCCTAACGGGTTCCCCTTACCATGCACTGACGCTGACTCAGCGGCCTACCAGCACTGCGTGATTACTCACACAGCAAACAAGTACGGCTGACTGGAACCGAGTGACTCACCCTCTGCATGAGTGCATCGCTGCTTTCACCGCTGCCTCTCACAAATGGCCCAGACGGAGTTCAGATATCGACGTGTTTATGCGATAAAGCAAATCTCTGTTCGTTATGGTTGTTGTAAGACTTGTAAGACTGAACTGTGATGGTCATGCTATTTCAGGGCATCAGGGGGTGCTGTTGAGCTTTCTTAGTCTCTACAGTGTTTACATTTTTCAAACCACAAGAGGGTGCTGGGTGAAATAAAATGGTGTGTGTGTGGAGAGTGACACTGCAGTTACCTGGAAACGCAACAGCAAATTGTTTCAATTTTTTATTTTCTGTAATAAAATATCAGCTGCTTTCCAGGCTGTCAGATAGGAGCCCTGCTGTCCTCCTGTGGTAAACCTGTGGGGGCCCAGGCCTCGCTTTGTCCCTCCTGATATTAGTCCCTCCGGGGAGCTTTAAATCAGGAAAATTGCTTGCAACACTTCACCTACAATGAAGAGTTATGTCTCCTTGTCCGTGTCCTTTCTGTGCAAGGAAACAATCATCGTTGTTTGAAGTGATAAATATGTGATTTTCTGTGGAGAAGGATTTGATTTCACAGGGTATTAAGGAGGCGAGTAAAAGCCGCAGTGACTTTGTGTTTTTGTCCTCCGCTGGCTTTTTTTTATTATATTTGTTTTAGCCGACAGGGTAATGAAATTGTTTAGTCACATTTAGTTAAATTCAGACTCATTCTGGGGAAATGTGCTGCACATTTTAGATGCGTCATGGGCATGCAGTGTGGGTTGCTTTATTACAGCGCGTTTCTTCATCAAGCAGCAGAACATGAAGTGTTGCATCAGATGGGAAGGATGGTAGCGGGTCTTTAAAAAGTGCAACACCGAAAGTGAGATCAGCACAGATTTTAAGTTATTCATTTCTGAAGGATGTTTTCTGTACGTTTTAAACAACTTCAAACAAGATGTCAGTTTGTGCTCCGTACCCTCCGCCTCTGTCTTCATGCCCTTTAGTAGATAAAGGACTCCGTGTCTCTGTGCTATCAACCCAGCTAAGAAGAGCCTCATTAATTATGGACGAACAGGACCGGTGAAAGGTGCTCCCGGTATGCATTATGCATCACAAAAATAGACACATTTAGTGTAATTTGACAGCCTGCCACCTCCTCAGTGTGCCTATAAATTATTTGCGGTGTACATCTTCTCCAAAGTACTGTGATTAGGCGTGTAGATAGCTGCGCGTTAATCACTTTTAAATATGCAGCGCTTAAGGACAGCAGTTTGTAGGTATCAGCACATTCGGGATCCTTTGAAGTAGCGTGAAGAGGAAAGTCCACTATTTCTATTTGATCTCATTTAGACTAGGTAATGGGGGGGGGGGGGGGTAGATGAAAGGAAGCATTTCATTGCCTAGCAACTTGTACAGTCATTGTGCCTCTTAAAATTTAATTTTACAGAAGCACAGCTTTCAAACAAAAAATTATCAGTGTGAATTACTACAAAGTGAGGTTTCATTTGATTCCTGTTCAAAATATAGGTAATTGTGCGAATTGTATTCATACGTTTTGGGGGAAAGACACTCGCGTTGATTGAATTTCAATGTGTTGATTATACTGGACATGAGTGTGGAGGTAAATCAGGTCGTACTCTGTCCTCACTTCATTCTGGTGACGGCAGACCTTCCCCTCACCTCTCTGTACTCTGTATGCAGCAGTAGTGCTGCAGCTCCAGCAGACACCGTCTGTGACCAGCCAGCACGTTTCCAGGCAAAGGTTGTTTGTCTTTGTCTGATCCTGCATCATTGATGTATCTGCTCACAGACCGCATACGGGTCTGGTAAAGTAGCTTCAGTTCATATTATTTCTGAACAGGTTAGCTTGGGCAATGTTTTCCAATTTAAGAAGACAATTTCTAAGAATAACGACTGAGTTCAAATGTCTTTCTGAGCTGTAGACATTAACTCCACACTGCGTTTTGATGCCATTTGACAACAGCTGTTTTCAAAAGCTAATCGCCTCTGCTGCTCAGTCTTTTGATGGAAATATTGGTATAGTAATAAAAAAGCACACCGTTTACTGTCATTGCTGCTCAGCCTGCTGTTTTGAAGAGTAATAGTAGATGACTCGCCTCCTTCAGCTTGTCAAATAATACCGTTTAATCAGCTACTTTAAAGGTTTATAGAATATTTCATAAGCTACTCCTACAATATGAGTTGTGTGTATGTTGTTGAATTGGAAAAGCAAACGGATATTATTATTATTGAAGCCATCTGACCATTAAAGGTCATAGATAAGCTCCAACCAGAGAGACGTGCTTGGGCATGCTGATGCAGGATGCTCCGATACCGGCGTCCTCGATGGGTCTCGGCACAGAGCCGCGGTGTCACGTGTCAGACACGGCCTCATTGATCGGGTGGCGGCATGCTTAGAGGGCGCTGAGGGCAATATCCCGTTGTGGAGACGCACTCAGGTATTGATTACTCAGGAAATGTTAGATAGAAGTGCAGGTGTGAGAGCGGAACAAAAGCTAATGTGACAAATGGATAACATTGTTGCTGTTGTCAGCTTTGGCATATTCTGATAAGAAAAACACATTTGCAGGCATTGGCATCTATTCTGTCCATCACATGTGATCGGACTGATTGAAATGTTCAAACCCTGAATCATTCCCTAGAACTCTGAGCAGCTGTCCGATGTTATTCTCGGTCCTCCTTTTAAGAAACAAGAGTAAATCAACTCTGGGCCCGCCGTTCATATTTCTTTTATGTCTTTGGGTCACAGAATTAGCATTTTTACATGTTTTAATTGGCTGATTACCATACATGCAAAAGCGTAATTTTGTTTTGCATTTTTAATCAGGCCAAATAGGAATTCTCTGAACAAAAGGCTCTGGAGCTTCTTTCTCATTCAGCTTCTTCAGCTGGAGTACCGTGATGTAGCCGAGGAGCGGAGGGCTGCGTTTGAACGCTGTTATTGTGATTTGAAAATGAAGTGTGAACTCGTTAAGTGAGGCCTGTTTTGTTGGGGCTCTGTTTTAGTGTGAATTGAATACTATCTGTGCTGCAGAGTTTTTAAAGCACGATATGAGGCGAGCAGAAGTTTTTGTCTTTACTATCAGGCTGCTTGTTGTTCCCTCTTCAACTCTTATTCAAGGCTATTTGTGACTGACGGCATGTCACTTTAAACAATAGACTTTTGTCAGAGCCACACGTACAGCCAGCAATCTCACGACTTGTTATCTTGTCTGATTTGACAAGGACAGTTCACTCCTCCTCAGGAAGGATGTCTGAGGGAGGATAGACGAGGATGGGGTTGTCATAGCAGCCTCGGTTGTCCCAGGAAAGCTCCGGCTTCCTGTGAGCTTCGGTGTTGCTGCAATGTGCCGCGTCGGTAGCTTGGAGCAGGTGTCATTAGGGGGCCTGGAGGCAATCTGGAGTGCTAATTACACAGCTATGGTGTGATATTACAATCTCTCGCAGTCGGTCTCGTCCCTTCTCTTGTTTCGACTTTCACTGCAGCCCTATCGATGCACGATCCTATTAGTTTTTTTCTTCTGTGTTACAATCCCGTATCTTTTAAACCCACCTTCTCAAGCCGAAGCCGTGTGTCAGTAACTCGGGCCGCGGCAGAGTGGTATCGATTCTTACTTCATCTCGTGTGTCACAGCAGCATGAATTAGAGCCGACGACTCCGATGTATGAAGTGGCTCAAATCACTGAAACACAGACTGGTTTTTCCTTAAATACGCTCTCATCTCTGGGCTTTAAAGTTAATGTCAAAGCTTGTTAAATCTCTGAAATATCACATATATGTGTGACTGACATTCAATGGAAACACATGCATATGTTGTGAATTAATGAGATTTTATTAGGTTTACCCTTTTACAATAGGCTATTCATTTGCAGTTATGTGATGCAGATATTCCTTAAATGTGTTGTGTAAAATGTCGAGCTGGACCAGAACACACACACACCTGTTGTGTGTCGTGCTTCTCAACCCGCCCCGGCCCGAAGTCGTTTTCAATGGGGGGTTGCGTGTCTTTATCCTCTCTGCTGACCCGGCACAGATCGTGACCTCAGATGATGTTGCTGCTCAGACTCACTGCAACACTGGAGTCATCGTGCGGCTGCTCCTCTGCTCGTTCAGACGGGAGGGACTTGAGAGACGCAGCAAAGTGCTTTTTACTTCAAACAAACTCCCCTTTGGGTTCATTTCACAGCTTTCTTATCCATAGAGGTTTCTGTGGGACTTTGTGTGTTTTGAGTTCATTTCAGGCTACCTTTCATCAACCACATATTGATTCATAGACGTGTGAAGAAAGACTTTGTTTGCTTGTGTATCAGTGCTGGTGAATAGACAGCGTTCTGGTTCTGGCTGCTTTTGAACGAGGCCAGAGATGCAAATAATGACTATTCATTCATTTATCGCTCCAATTGTTTTCATTTGTGTGTCTATTAACTAAATAATAAAAGTGCCTTTCAAAAAATCTCCCATGCTGTTCAAATTGCTTGTTTTGTTTCTGATCAAGCGGAGGAAACCCAAAGATAGACGGACATTTCTGCGTGATATGTGACTTAACAGTTGCTTAAATGTTCACTCGCTCAACCTATAGGATCATTGTTTTAGCACTAGTGGTGGACATAATGGTGCATATGTCAGTTTGGGACATGGTGTCATCAGTATTTGCTCTTTTTTTATACATTTTATTTGAAAACAAAAACACTAGTTCTACTTTAACCTCTCTGTTCCATTTGAGGAGGCTTTTCTTGCTCTCAGAGTGTTTATTGAGGACAAATCGGATGATATGCCTGTTGTTGCTGTTATTTATGTAATCCACCGTCCGGAGCCGCTTTGTCCGCCCCCACCAGGCTGGATGAGTACAGGATCAGCGCACAGTGGAGGGAGGGGCCGGAGGACGGACTGACATAGAGCCGCATCCTAACAAACGAGCTGCTTGCTCATAGGCGGCAGCAGCCTGCCCTCCTCTGATGCAGGCTGATTTTTATCTGTCGCTAGGCAACAGCTTTGAGGGACCTGACGTCTCCATCGAGTTGGCTAAAGTGTGTGTGTGTGTGTGTGTGTGTGTGTGTGTGTGTGTGTGTGTGTGTGTGTAAGAGAGACACAAGGCGGGGTCCGCACATCTCTCTCCGTCAAAAGTACAACCGATATAGCTCGGCCGTCCGCTTGGCTCCGTGGATGTATTTCGGTCATCGGGCTCGAGTTGCGCCATGTCCGACGTGTCCTTCCTCTGAACTGCCTGTTACACAACGGTGAACTTATTCACACACACAATGATTTAGACTGACATTTATTGTGATAGATGAGCGGCCTTGCGACAAAAAAAGCCTAATCTTGAACAGAAGTGCTGTTCAGCAGCAGTGTCGCTCCGGTCGAGTTTCCCATTGTGTGGCATTACATAAGTGTCTGCTGTTCAAGCATCATCATCGCTATGTGCTGCCTCAAAGCAGATGAGATACATAGTTTTATGTCTCTAGTTTCTTCTCCTGCTTCCTTTTTTTTGCCATAACCCCATCATTTGGTTGGCCAATAAGCTTTCAAGAGGAACTTGAGTGTTCATATAAACATGTAAACAAGCGAGTGTCTGTGCTGTCTGATGAGGAGGGTCCGCCCTTTGTGCCAAATACATGTGGAAGCTCACAGCCCCTGGCCTACTTTCATATCTCCACAATAATTAAATCTAACGAGCAATTGGGGGCTGTAGTGTGAAGGTTTTTTTTATTTTCTATCGCAGACCGTTTGAAATCCTCAACTGTCTGCAAAGGTGTGGAACTCTGTGTTGATGATATTTACGTGAGCGTAGCTTCCTGTAGGCCGTGGCACCAAGTTGTCGTTTGCCGCTCTCGTCTTTAGGAGACGCCTTTTTAATTTACGGTTTGAGGAGACCGGAGATGTTGCTGTATGTACTTCTGTGGTCTCAATCAATTTCCTTCCATTACACAGAAGCAAATTCATTTCACCAGGCTGCCGAGCATGACGGTGCAAGACGGACTTAATACTTTCCTACTTCATCTGACAGAAGCGTTTTTTAGCTCTCTCTCTTTTTCCAGACAGTCTACAGATGGCATTGCTCAAATTGAAACTCGTGAAGTCCTTTCCAAACAAATCCGACCTATATGAAGGAAGAGTTAGTCCTCAGGATATATGAGGAGGTGAAAGAGCGTTGTGTAGTTTTCTTTTTATCTTGTGCAAACAGAATTGGAAAATGTACATTCATTTAACAGAGAAAAGCTGTCTCAGCAGGTGTGGGCAGGCCCGAATGACTTGATGAATCGCAGTTGGCAACAGACTAATGAGTGATTCCTTGTTCAACAAACGCCAGCTGACAAAGTCTCATTGTGTAGCCGGCATTAGTAGACTCCACCCATAGGAGACGGTAATTATCGGTTTGTCTTCGTTAACTTGGTGAAAGAGGAACAAAAGGAGAAAGAAGAAGCACAACCCCGTGTGCTGTAGATCACTTCGGTCTCTTTTCTGTGTGCTCGTTGATTTTTTATTTTTATTTTTTTTCCCAGAGCTTAGTGAGGTTTAATATCATCGGCTGGAATCTGGTATTGTTTACTCACAGACGATCTTGCCTGAGCTGCAGCAACATAGGAGATTGAATGACATAGAAGCCTCAGATCTAAGTGTTATCATGGCAGAGCAGGATGCCGCTGTCAGCAGGATCCCCGGTCAGGGCGCTGTGATGGCCGGCGGTGGCTTTCCACACGCTGTTGTATTCTCTCTCTCTGGTCTTATGGTCACAACTGACAGGATTTACAGGGTACTGTCAGGATCCAATGACCCGTAGAAAACTCTCACTCGCCTCACACTTTGCACTAAAATCCGTTGTGGACGATCGGATCACAAGTTAATAGTTCGTAACGTGTGGAAGACTTACTGGGGTTCAAACAGCAGTGAGACAGAAATGCGTCCGTGGTTGCATGTTTCTAAATAACCGGGTCTATACCGAAGGTGATGTCCTCTTCTCAAACCATTCACCGTTGTGTTTTATGTGAAACAAATGTGAGCAGAAGAGCAAAATCTGATCCCAGTTGATTACTTGCAACACATTTTAGCCCCTTATGGATACATGTGTATGTGTGTTTCTGCCAATCTAAGTGTTTGGTTCAGTTGGACAGGAACTACCTATTACAGGTCACGCCTAGTGTCGGTGTAAAGCATCGAGATTCCTGTTCGACATGGAAGTAAATACACTCCCTAGACTAATGCACTCCCTAGAAAACATTAGTGAATCAAGTGGTATAAAAGTGACGAAATTGAAAAAATAAAATAAAAGTCTTCAGTTGATAAGAACTCTCACGTTCGGCTTCTCAGGATGTTTGGTTAATATTATGAATCAGATTTTGGCCTCTATAAAAATACACAATAACACTTCATTCTCTTTAAAGCCCTAATTCCCAACAACAGTTACAGTAAATGAGATTATTTAGGATGTTGTAGTTTCCTGCTGCAGACGACCATGTTGGGTTAATATCGTTATTATTGTTTGGAGGACTTACCTGACAATCTACTGTTGGTTTTCAGGTGCAGAGGACGTGGTGATGGCGTTCTCGCGGTCAGAGGCGGAGGACCGACGACAGTGACCCTGGGCTCTCTCCCCCCCTTTCCACCCCACTGCATCTCCCCCCTCCCCCACCCTCTTCCCGCACGTGATCCACAGCAACTCCACAAACACGACACTGATGAGCACAGGAGAGGAGGGGAAGAGACACCAGGAGGTGGCTGCCTCGCTCTCCTCAGCCTCTTCCATCCCCGACTCCTCATACAAGCTGGCGGCCATTACCTGAGCTGCACTCAAGTGCTTCGCTGTGGGGCGACGCCTCAGCAACAAGGCAGTCAGTGAAAACACTCACAGATTGTGTGGATGAATATCAAATGTAGTTTCTTTTTCTTTCTTTCTTTTTGTGGGTGGGTTGGCTTTGTTTTGTATTCTTTTGTCTGTGTTGAGACTTTAGGCAGTGTTACATGTTGTATCTGCTGTGGTCACTGGAGGAAGTGACCAGTCAGCAGCTAACTGAAGCAAAGAGAAATATAGATCTGGTCGAGCAGCGAGTGTGAGGATTGTGATCGTGTTAGGGGAGAGATTTTTTTTTAATTATTTCTGCTGACCCCTGATGGGGCTGAAATAGTTTTTGATTTAGCTGTTGTGTTATGAAGGCTTTTGTATTCTGTCACACACGGGGCCTCATTCATAAACATGTTGTGTGTATAAATAGAGGCGCGATAGACGGGTTCTTCATCTCCCACGCAGATGTCGGGATGTTTCTGAAGAGCGTCGACACGCTTTCTTCAACCTGCATGCCGAAGGCCAAGTAGTCAAATAAAATCGAATGTATTCATAACTCTTCTCAGACAATTAATTTCACTTTAAATCAAATTCCGGCCTGTTTATTTTTCACCTTCTTGCGGCAGGAAGTCAGTCGTAGAACCTAGACTCACTCATGGAGTGCCTCAACAACATGTCGTTTAGGTATCGAACTTGATTCTCTCTTGATTTGACGGTGCTCACTGCTGCTGCGACGCAGAAATAACAACAAACAAAACGGTAAAGTCGAACCGACTAAAGATCAAATTTTTCTTTTTGTATTTGCAGTCTGACCTTTTGTTGACGTACAAATGCTAGAATGATGCCCTGAGTGATGTGTGTGCCTTAACACACGCAGCAGGCCCGTCGTTAATCATTCATGTTTGATTACGGGGCTCAGCAGAGCAGGATGACGAGGCTAGTGGCATGACGGAAGTGGAAAGAGTATTTTTGAGCGCACGTCGTTTTCCTCTCGACGAATCTTCGCACAGTCTTCTAAATGAGGCCCCTCTTGTTCTTCTTCTGCTGCTTTCTTTTGAACCACAGGCTGTTGAGAGTGCAGCGATGCGTTTCTCTGGAGGAAGGTGCAAGAATTAAAGACACTAGCAGACATAATCACATGAAACACAGGAGTACACATTCTCCCCAAACAAACACTGGTTTGGGGTTGTTGTGACATGTCAAACCTTTTCTTTTTTTTTTTATTGTACAGATAGTTGGGAAAATTGATTGTGCCAATTGTATTTTTTTTTTTATCTGTAAGATAACATTAACATAATGATTTAAGAAAATTGATAAGAGACGAGACGCTGTAGTTGTAATTTATTGTTTACTGAATTGACTTCCTCGAACACATCGTTAAAGATGGAGAACCAGTAGATAGTTTAACGTCATCCGCAGCTCTGTTCACACTAAAGTCACAAACTCTACATTTTTAACTAAACATGGAAGCTGTGTGCTATTTCTGACTGTACTGTATCTCTTGCACTATTATCAATGGGATATTTGCAAAAAATACATTTTGATATTTAGGGCAGAGATTTTATGTTTGGATTCAATGGATAAAAGAAAACTTTGTAACCATGTTTTTATTCCTTCGCTGATTTCAAAAAAAAAGAAAAGTTCCTTCTCTGTGTTAATTGACTCGACTGGAAAAGCTCAAATGAATATTTGTTAACAAACCAACATGTTTTTCTAGTGACATGATCAATATTTAATGTATTTTAAGTACAGTTTGTCAGCTTGTATAACTTAAAAAAATAATTGTAACGTAATGTTTTGAAGCCAAGCATGTCTGCCTCGTGGTTTATAATGTGCATTCAAGCGGCGCCAAACCATTGTTTGTACATTCTTGACGTTTGTTGACGCTACTAGCTCTTTTAAAATGTTTCAGAAAAAAAAAAAAATGATTTCTTGTATGGGTAAAGTGTGATCCATTTATTTGTTGTTGGCAATAACTTCTATTTGAATGTCCTCGGTAATCATTGCGATGTAATCAGCCAACGGATCTATCACGCTGTCCGCCTACGACAAAGACTTTTGTCTTTTTATGTTTACTCTTGTTTTAAAACATTCTTTATTTGTCTATGCATTGTTTTTTATCTCTCTCTAAAAGGCGTCTTACTGTACATTTAACTATCACGGTTGTTCTACAGCCTTTATTCAAGTTGTGGGTGTGTGTTTGAGTGTGTGTGTGTGTTTGAGTGAGTGGGTGAGATCATCGTTGAACTTGCGACCGGTTTTGATTTTCAGCATGCTGTTAAGTGTGACTAGGATCGATGTATCTTTTTACTGTGATGACCTGACGTTGCCTAATTGTTCTTTTTTGCGTTGCTTTTGTATTTTATTTTCCTCTCAGTCGACATTGATTTGTTGGTTTTGTTTTATATGGCTGCTGACCATGTCCTGACTTAATGCTTCCAAATCCTATACCAACTGAACCATTAAAGATATTTTAAACAGTGAAAGGTGACTTTTCCTTCTTTTCTTTGTCAAACATGCAAGAAATGAGAAACTGATTCTTACGGCTCAGAATGGCTGCTTGTGTTCAGATGGTGCTGGGAGAAAGTGTTCATCGTATCAAAATAAGGGTAAAATCATGTCTTCTTTGTTCCTCTTACTGTCTGTGTGTGCAGAAGAAAATGATCTTTTAGTTCAGTCTAAGTGAATGATGCAGTTTGTATGCAAAGACAAGTCTGCATATTTGATCAAATCTGAAATCTTCAGACCTTGGAAGCCGCAGATGACAACATCTCTACTCAAGGTCCGCTTACTGGCTCAAACATATCTCTCTTCTTTTCTCAGTCATTAAACTGTAAAAGTTCAAACTTTCCCTTCTTCTCCAATTCGAGGTCCACTTGCTTGTTTTGAACTTACAATTATATCAGTAGTTATGAATTCTGAGGTTTTCTGTAGAAGACCCAAAAGAGTTTTCAGGTTTATAGATAGTGTGAACCTTTACAGTTCAATGTCAAACTTAATTTGCTGAGATGAAGACAGTGTGATCTGGTCAAAAGCTCCAGAACAAGCGAGAAAGAGGGCGTTGTTAAGTCAGTGTTTTGAATTTTAAAACAAGAGGTTCATAATTTTGTCTTAATGTAATCATTTACGTGTTAGTTCTCATGCACATCACTTCATTCAAAGACAAACATTCTTGGCCTTTCAGCGACACAGAAGCCTCCCAGTAACAGCGGGGCCCCTGTATGTTGAAGGACTCTCCTGTAAATCTACTCGTCACATGAAAACACCGTTTACCTTGTTAACTGACAGTAACTACCCACAGCCTCGTACATGTTCCTGTCAGGTGTTCAGGCAGATGTTTATACTGCTGACTGGTCATCAAGTTGGGACATGGGGCTCCATGTTTCTCCCGCGCTAATGATGAACATCTGTTCCCCGTTCACATGCCTTTTTTCACAGATTCATAAAAAAACAAAATCCTGCCATTTAGAGGGAGCGAGCCCTGGGAATAACACGCCAGCTGTTGACACATTTTTCAATATTCATGCACTGCTTTACACTGTAGCTGTCATTTACTGACCGGAAAACTTTCTCACTAGAACAACTTGCTGCTTAGTATTCGAATGCTAACGCTTAGTGTTGTATTGTGGCGTCATTACATGCACACCTCTCCTTCCATCCACATAAGCTCCCTCTCTCACTGTACACGTGAGCTCTGACGTTGTGTTTATCCGATGTCAGACAGATCAGACCCAGAGCTCGGCAGACAGCACGAGCCAGCTGATAACTGCCACCGCCACAATCACATCACGCTATGCAACGGTGTGTGTGTGCGTGTGTGTGTGTGTGTGTCTGGACAGCATACTGTAGTTGCTCTGTGCCGAGTGTCCACACTGACTGACGACAGCAGTTTTAGCAGAACAGGGAGACGCATGATCACTTTTAGCTTGTGTTTGAGAAGTCAGGTTTTATTAAAGTGTCTCACCATTAAAATGGTGTCTTTTACATTAGTATCAATCACTGTACGCTGGAGAGGCCGCAGTGAAAAGCTTGCTCCTTTACAGAGAACAGTGTCTATGAGCTGCTTACATTCATGTCAGTATCAAAGCTTGCCTGCAGCATAATCTACTTCTCTGTCCATTCACCTGCTCAATATTCATCAAACATGTTGTCATTTTATCAAAAATAATCACATTTACCCGCTATCTGCATATTTGGGTATAAATAAGACGGCACATATGGATGAATTGCAGAGAAGTGATTATTCAGATTGATCTGAATGGGAGAATATTGTGATATTTCCTTGTAAGAATTAAGCATACGTCTTCCGGTAACACATCAAAACAAAACAAAAGAAAACATATTTGTGAGGCAAGTTTCTAATAAGTTGTACATGAAATATCAACAGAAAGAAAAGAAAATGATACAGGCCTAAAGTGTATCCTGTTGAAGGGCTATTTTGTTTCTCATCTCCCAGGCTCAAATATAAATGTGTTTTATGTGAACAGCCAACTCAGTCCTGCTTCATCCATATTTACAAAATACTGTTATGTTTCTGCACTCATATATTCAGGTTTCTCCCTTCTGTTTGTGAAAGTGTGCGCAGGAACCAGGTAGCTCATGTCTGTGGGATGTTGGCGTGCTTAATATGTATGAAAGGAAATTATCCAATTATTATCCAATATGTGATTTAAATATAACCGAGATAATAAAACAGGTTGAGACTTTATTTTTGGTATCTACTTGCATTGTTCTGGGATAATTGGGACTTGGACTGCTGAGCTCAGTTTTTCTAAAATCTTGACAGCTTTAAAATCACCATAATTGAAAGGGAGGCCTTTATTTTAGGAAGAAGGTTCAGAGCAACATGACTCTCCTGACCCGGTGCTGAAATAACTCCACCCCATACATTTGAGAGGAAGGATATAACTTTACAGCCCAAATTAATGTGATCAGCTCCACCTTTCATCTTCAAAGCAAAAAAATAAACAAGAAACCAGCGTGTGGCAGCTCCAGGAGCGAGGGAGGTGACTCTCCCTCCCGCCTTATGACTCGACATTATAACATTATTAAGCAAAAGCCAGGCGCTATCCAGGGAAGAGGAGGGAGAGGCACTCAGACAGAAAGGGCACATGCTGTGAAGTAGCAATGTACACCCACACCCTAATTAAAGACAAAAGCTTGGCAGTTGGCCTCAGTTACACCATGATGGTGTGTTTCAGACGCAAATACACAGTTTAATAAACTATTCTTCAAGCCCTGGAGGAAATCGTGAGCACAAGCTATTTGCTTTGTCTCGATGCCACCTTCCTGGCTTTTAAAATATTTTTAAAATATTTTAGATGTCATGTTTATTAACACATTTCCTCAAATCTGATGTTTGGTGTCCTTGGAAACGTTGAGATCTCCGCTAGAATTCTAATTAAATTTGTGTGAGTGTGAACAATGTTTGGCTGCACAGGGGGAGTTAGTCATGGTTGACCCTGGCAGGTCAGTGGAGTTTAAGACGTCAAGAAGAAGAAATGGCATTCTTACTGTATTTTTATGGAGGTTGGATGCAGGTTGAACACTCAGCAAACTGTGACAGAAGGAGGAATTCTCACCACTAATATTTCTACCTGCCTCAAACACACTTTCAATATTTTAGCAATCCTTTGTGCTTTGAACATCCCTTTGAAACATTATCTTTGAAAGCATTTTATTTTAATAATTTTGTTATTTGATATTATTATTATTTGTTATTCAAATTTTGGTTTTCAATTCTGCACCTGGTGCCACATGTTGGTCCTCCTGTGTTACATCTCATCTTGTGATTAAAAAAACCCCACATCCCATTTAAAACCCATCAACTGCTGGCTGTGAGAGACTTGTTGCAGCAAAGATTTTTTTGCAGCGTCCAGTCTGTTTCCTTCTGGAGTGTTATGGAACGCTGCTCCCCTGAAGGCGTACTGACGGCAGCCATCTGCTCAAGCTCTTTCTAGCTGTGATATCTCTTTGACAGAAGCTTATTTCCACAATATACTCTCAGGATCAACATACCTGTCCTCCTCCAGGATTCCCACTCCAACGCCTTCACTGAGTGAGAGATATTTCCTGTTAATGATACAGTGTGTAGGCAAAATGTATGGAGATGTCATCTCTGTTTTTTTGCTTGTGACACATGTGAAGAGCAGAACGTTGTATAAAAGTCAAAAGTGGTCTCTTGGTGTTGAAGACATACCTTTTGACTCCTACTACAACTATAACTATAACTACAGTAAATCTAAAACTTACAGGGAGATTTGAAAAGATCTAATTCACATTAATACAGAAAATGAATGTAAACGTTTTCCATCTTAAAGCTGTTATGCATAAAAATCCTGATGGCATAATTTGAAAGGAGCTGAAAAGGCAAATCTGGGTGCTCTGGACGTCACAAATTCACTCTGTGTGCAAAGCACAGCAAATGTTATAAATGCAATAACTATCTATGAATATATGCACAAGGTTTAGCTCAGGCCTAAAAATAACAAGACATGCCTTCAACTGGCTGTCATAACAAACAGATTCTGGCTGTGCCATCAGGCCTGAAGTATGCATCACGTTGACTGAAATAAGCATGAGTGACTGCTGTTGCTGCAGGAACCGCATATACTTAAACAGTGTTCAGAGAAGATCCAGCTACAACAATAACACAACTGCTGAAGCCCACTGCAATTGCGTCTAAAACATTAAAGCTCCGTAGGAATCCACACTACAAAATGCAGTATCTTTGTCTAATAATGAGTGGTTTTCCTGCTTTATTTTCTTCTGCGAGAGTGAGTTGAGATTGAAGCCACCTGATAACATTCTCCAAACTTTCTTTCTCACTTTAATTCACCCAAAGCGGGTGGAATGCGCTGAAATTCCTCCCCGAGGAGGTTTGGGAGGGAAGAGAAAGATGCACAGCCAGCAGCTGCCCTGGCATTGATTTATGAAACAGACTCCAAGCTCTTCATTTCAAAGCTGTATTTATGTCTTTGTTTTCTATTCAGCAGATGAGATGAGATGAGATGAGATGAGTCTGTAAACCATAACATAAACTCTTCAATACATTTTTATAGGCAGATTAATCTCAGTGTATTTGTATGACTATATTTATAACGTGTTTTGATACTCTGTCGATTTAAGAACCTCACACACTATGAACCTCCAAACAGACCATTAGCAGGGTAAAGGACTCAGCGGCGGCTGAGTGTTTGTGGTCTTTGACCCCGGATAAATAATTGGAGCCTGTGCTGGTGCAGCTGAATGCTGGGAATGCGTAGAATGACTCAGCGTTCTCGGGAGGAGTTGGCAGAGTGGACATCCATCACGCCACTACTACGGTCCGGTGGTAGCCTATAGGAACACTCTGACTATTGGCTCTCTGTGCAGGCAGAGCTGACTACTAGGGAAATACAGCTAACCTTGTTCAGCCCAGAGGCCAAACCCATCTGAAGGTAGGAAGGAGTTATTAGTGGAATTAGCAAAGATTTAAACCATTACA